CTCTCTGGTCTCTCTCTCTCTAATCTCTCACTGGCTTCTCTCTAGTCTCTCACTGGCCCCTCTCTGGTCTCTCTCACTAGTCTCTCACTGGTCTCTCTCACTAGTCTCTCACTGGTCTCTCTCACTAGTCTCTCTCTAGTCTCTCACTGGTCTCTCTCACTAGTCTCTCACTGGTCTCTCTCACTAGTCTCTCACTGGCCCCTCTCTGGTCTCTCTCTAGTCACTCACTGGCCTCTCTGGTCTCTCACACTAGTCTCTCTCACTGGTCTCTCTCACTAGTCTCTCTCTCTAGTCTCTCACTGGTCTCTCTCTCTAGTCTCTCACTGGCCTCTCTCTGGTCTCTCTAGTCTCTCACTGGCCTCTCTCTGGTCTCTCTCACTAGTCTCTCACTGGCCTCTCTCTGGTCTTTCTCACTAGTCTCTCACTGGTCTCTCTCTCTAGTCTCTCACTGGCCCCTCTCTAGTCTCTCACTGGCCTCTCTCTGGTCTCCCTCTCTGGTCTCTCACTAGTCTCTCACTGGCCTCTCTCTGGTCTCCCTCTCTGGTCTCTCACTAGTCTCTCACTGGCCTCTCTCTGGTCTCTCACTGGTCTCTCTCTCTGGTCTCTCTCTAGTCTCTTTCTGGTCTCTCACTGGTCTCTCTCACTAGTCTCTCACTGGCCCCTCTCTGTTCTCTCTCACTAGTCTCTCACTGGTCTCTCTCTCTAGTCTCTCACTGGCCCCTCTCTGTTCTCTCTCACTAGTCTCTCACTGGCCTCTCTCTGGTCTCCCTCTCTGGTCTCTCACTAGTCTCTCACTGGCCTCTCTCTGGTCTCCCTCTCTGGTATCTCACTAGTCTCTCACTGGCCTCTCTCTGGTCTCTCTCTGGTCTCTAGTCTCTCACTGGCCTCTGTCTGGTCTCCCTCTCTGGTCTCTCACTAGTCTCTCACTGGCCTCTCTCTGGTCTCTCACTGGTCTCTCTCTCTGGTCTCTCTCTAGTCTCTTTCTGGTCTCTCACTGGTCTCTCTCTCTAGTCTCTCTCTGGTCTATCTAGTCTCTCACTGGCCTCTCTCTGGTCTCTCTGTCTCTGGTCTCTCACTGGCCTCTCTCTGGTCCCTCTCTGCTCTCTCGTCTCGTCTCAGTCCACCAGTTATCCCCAAACGGACTAGTTTCTTCCACACCAACAGTTTACATGCGTCTCTAACAATCGCATTCAATTAGAGAACGAGTAAGATTGTGTTTCTACTGGTGCTTTTGTGACGCACACACAAACACACTGACCCCTGAAATACAGATGACACACAAAACGGCAACTCAAAAAGACGTAAAAAAACATTTAAATTGGTGAATTACAACCAGAGAACACACAAAAAGTAAAAATGTGACTTTACAATCATAGTAAAGATCATTAAGTGCACTTCTTATCACTGTTTGTGGTAACGGCCGAAGTGAAGGTTTTCGTGGCCTCGTTGGTCCCGGGGGCCGTGGGTTGGACTCGTCTATCGTAATGATGTACGCTTCAAAATATAGACTGAGTTTAGACAAACACTTTTATTTTATTATTTCCTGTTTTATGAATACTGTACATATTGTTTTAAAGCAGTTTTGTTTTAACTTTGGTCTCGCTACTCTTGCCCTATGATCTGTCTCCTGCCTCTCTTTGGTACCCGTCTAGCTTCTCTCTCTGGTCTCCCTCGCTTCCCCCTCTCTGGTCTCCCTCTCTGGTTACTAGTCTCTCTGGTCTCCCTCTAGTCTCTCTCTCTGGTCTCTCTCTAGTGTCTCTCTGGTCACTAGTCTCTCTGGTCTCCCTCTAGTCTCTCTCTCTGGTCTCCCTCTAGTCTCTCTCTGGTCTCCCTTTGGTGTCTCACTAGTCTCTCTGGTCTCTCTCTAGTGTCTCTCTGGTCTCCCTCTAGTCCCTCTCTGGTCTCCCTTTAGTGCCTCTCTGGTCTTCCTCTGGTCTTCCTCTAGTGTCTCTCTGGTCACTAGTATCTCTGGTCTCCCTCTAGTGTCTCTCTCTATTCCCCCTCTCTGGTTACTAGTCTCTCTGGTCTCCCTCTAGTCTCTCTCTCTGGTCTCCCTCTAGTCTCTCTCTGGTCTCCCTTTGGTGTCTCACTAGTCTCTCTGGTCTCTCTCTAGTGTCTCTCTGGTCTCCCTCTAGTCCCTCTCTGGTCTCCCTTTAGTGCCTCTCTGGTCTTTCTCTGGTCTTCCTCTAGTGTCTCTCTGGTCACTAGTCTCTCTGGTCTCCCTTCGGTGTCTCTCTGGTCACTAGTCTCTCTGGTCTCTCTCTAGTGTCTCTCTGGTCTCCCTCTAGTGTCTCTCTGGTCACTAGTCTCTCTGGTCTCTCTCTAGTGTCTCTCTGGTCACTAGTCTCTGGTCTCTCTCTAGTGTCTCTCTGGTCACTAGTCTCTGGTCTCTCTCTAGTGTCTCTCTGGTCTCCCTCTAGTCCCTCTCTGGTCTCCCTCTAGTCCCTCTCTGGTCTCCCTTTAGTGCCTCTCTGGTCTCCCTCTAGTCCCTCTCTGGTCTTCCTCTAGTGTCTCTCTGGTCACTAGTCTCTCTCTCTAGTCTCTCTCTCTGGTCTCTGGTCTCTAGTCTCTCTCTCTAGTCTCTCTCTCTGGTCTCTGGTCTCTAGTCTCTCTCTCTAGTCTCTCTCTCTGGTCTCTAGTCTCTCTCTCTAGTCTCTCTCTAGTCTCTCTCTCTGGTCTCTGGTCTCTAGTCTCTCTCTCTAGTCTCTCTCTCTAGTCTCTCTCTCTGGTCTCTAGTCTCTCTCTCTAGTCTCTCTCTCTAGTCTCTCTCTCTGGTCTCTGGTCTCTAGTCTCTCTCTCTAGTCTCTCTCTCTGGTCTCTCTCTCTAGTCTCCCTTTCTCTTTCCTGTTTTGTAATCAATACATATTGTTTTGAAGCAGTTTTGTGTTATAGAAGAAAGAACACTGACTGACAACAAACACATCCAAACATTACAGTTGTTTTTGTCTATTAAAAAAGACGCTCCATGTTTTAGAAAGGGAAAATAATAGACTTTAACCTTTCACGAAGCCTTTTCAGAAAACCAACTGTTTGTGTTTTTCTCGACTGTCTTTTCTGAGGCCTTTCCTTTTGTCTAATATGTTTTTTTTGTACTTGCTGATGATGTGTACGGCACATTGAGCACAGAATAAATGCCTAAAGAACTTAAACATGTGACGTGTTTGTGGGTCAGAGTCTGGTTTCTCAAGAGGATGAGTGTGGGCAGGTCTCTCTCGCCTCTCTCTGGTCTCTATGGTGCTCTCTCTCGCCTCTCTCTGGTCTCTATGGTGCTCTCTCTTGACTCTCTCTGGTCTCTCTCTCTCGCTTCTCTCTGGTCTGGAGCTCCTCCGGCAGCAGACTCCTAACCATTCCCAAAGTCAGGACACACACTCACGGCGAGGCTTCTTTCCAGCTCTACGGCCCCCGTCTCTGGAACAATCTGAGGAGCTCAGGGCCGCAGAGAACGTTCATATTTTCAAAAGCAGGCTCAAGACACACTTTTTTAGATTAGCTTTTGATTATTATTTATTATTGCTTTTTAGTACATCTATTTATGTTTTTAGACACATTCTATTTTTTTTTTTTTTTTTATTATTTACTATTTCTAATTATTTCATCTACCCATTTACTATTGTTATCATTATTAGGCAGCTGCCATTTTTCTTTTTTGTGTCTCATTTTATTGTTCTACTTTCTATTGTATTGTTTTAGTGTCCCCAGTGTTTCCTCTGGAGGAGCCCTCTGCACTGGGAGCTGGGGTCTGCTGTGGCTTCGGGGGACTGGCTCTTGGATCCGGTGGGGGTCTGGGGCCTCCTCTCTCCTCTGGGTCCTATGGGGTCTGAGTCCTGGGCCTGGTGGGGTCTGGGGCCCCTCTCTCCTCTGGGTCCTGTGTCGTTGCCTGTGGCTGCAGCCGGCTCTCTGCTCCTGGTGCAGATGGCTCCTTGGATGGCGCTTCTTCAGCCGGTTACATCTGCTCCCAGCCCCATTTCTTTTTATGGTTTTACCTATTTTACCTGATATGACTTTATACTTGTGTGTGTGTGTGTGTGTGTGTGTGTGTGTGTGTGTATACGCATGTGGTTGTATATATAATTATAAATGTGGTTTTAGGGGGGTCTGTGGGGAGGAGGGTTTAGGGCTGGGCATGTTGGATTGTTTTTAACTAAACTGTAAAGCACTTTGTTACACTTTATAAATAAAATTTTATTGATTTATGGTGCTCTCTCTTGACTCTCTGGTCTCTATGGTACTCTCTCTTGCCTCTGGTCTCTCTCTTGCCTCTCTGGTCTCTTTTTTTGCCTCTTTCTGGTCTCTCTCTCTTGCCTCTTTCTGGTCTCGCTCTGGTCTTTTTGGTCTCTCCCTCTTACCTCTTTCTAGTCTCCCTCTAGTCTATTTGGTCTCCCTCTGGTCTCTTGCCTCTGTCTGCATGGGGCACTTTAGTATCAATATAAACTGACTTTTAAAGAGGTTTTTACAGCAGGAGGATAATGCAGTTGCTAAATATGTATAAAATGCATGAGTTCTCTGTATGTGTGTGTCTAGTCTCCCTCTAGTCTCTTTGGTCTCCCTCTGGTCTCTCCACATTTTGATCTGCAGCTGCCCCACTTTGGCACCTGGTCTCCCATCACAGTACTAACCAGTCCCTGCTCTGCTTAGCTTCAGAGGTCTTGATTTTTGAGTGACCCTTTCTTCCTCATGTCTCTGTCTCTGATTCTAAACCAGACGACAGCGACGTAAACAACTGAAATCATGTGAAATGTACACATTTTTCAACACCGACCAAACTTTGTGCAACCAGGAAGTTGCCTCAGATCTGTGCTCACTGGTACAGGAGAAGCTCATCTCTCAGACAGCACCTAGAGCCACCATAGAGCTGACTTAGAGCTAACATAGAGCCACCATAGAGCTGACTTAGAGCTAACATAGAGCCACCATAGAGCTGACTTAGAGCTAACATAGAGCCACCATAGAGCTGACTTAGAGCTAACATAGAGCCACCATAGAGCTTACATGGTCCACAGATGGCGGCCTACTTCCGCTCCAGCTCCTCGGACATCAGCATCGAGGTGGGGGAGTACCAGGAGATCCCACTACCATCAAAACCAAGTATGTACATTTCAGATGAGAAACCTATGGGCCAGACAAAAAAAAATTGAATTGAAAAAAATATATAAAATCCTTCAGTTGTTGCAGAAACAACTGAAGGAGAGGAGAGCAAGATGGCGCTGTGTCATGACGCCGCAGTGAGAGCTCTATTTTTGTCTTTTAATGTTGTTTTATGTCTGTATTTGTCCGTGCACACTGGTGACTTTTTGCTAATGTATTCCAATGTGGTTTTTTACTGCAAATGGCAAATAAAACTGAATCTGAGAAAAAGAACTGTTTTAACCTGGATTTTCACATTGTCAGAGAAGAAGCCTTTCTCACATTTTGGGGAAGACTGTTCCACGTGTTAGCTGCTCAATACTGTCTCTGGTTTGTGTAGTGTCTCCTTGTTCTTGAAGACGGGTTTCCCGCACATCAATGGATAGTGATGGAAGAGGAATGGACTCCGAGTTATGATTAAAAGGAGTTTAATGGCAGAATCAGAATACATTCAGTTCAATTCAGGCAAAGAGCTCCTCTGCCTGGGTCCCTCTCTGATTCAGGCTAGAATTAAGAATAGAGAACTGAAGTGGGTTAAATACTAACATTTACCTTGACCATATATGTCCATCTGACCTATGATCCTAGACTCTTAAAATAAAAAGCAAGCCTGCTTCCTGTTGGATGTGAACAGAACAACATACAGCTCATATACAACATCTTGTTTCAGAATGTAAACATCTGAACGCCGTCGTGTTGAGCTTCGGGGTCCTGTGCGTCCTGCAGGGGGCGCTCAACATCGCTCTGAGGCTGACGCTGAGAGACTGCACTGGTGAGTCTGAAACTGACAGAAACTGGAACCAGAGGCCAGGGCCAGACCAGTCAAAGTAGAGTCCAGTCCACTCCAGGTCCAGTCCACGTGGACTGGACCTGGACTGGATGCAACCTGGACTGGACTGGAAGGTCCAGTCCAGTCTAATCTAAGACCACATTATGTACAAATCTGATTTTTCCAGCTCCTCCAGCTCCTCCTGCTCCTCCTGCTCCCAACACCACAGGTGAATGTTCAACTCACTTGACCCATATTACACTCTTTTTCATGTTTCAGTCCCTCTCCTCTCTCCTCTCTCTCCTCTCTCTCCTCTCTCTCCTCTCTCCTCTCTCTCCTCTCTCTCCTCTCTCCTCTCTCTCCTCTCTCTCCTCTCTCTCCTCTCTCCTCTCTCTCCTCTCTCTCCTCTCTCTCCTCTCTCTCCTCTCTCTCCTCTCTCTCTCTCCTCTCTCTCCTCTCTCCTCTCTCTTCTCTCTCTCCTCTCTCTCCTCTCTCCTCTCTCCTCTCCTCTTCGCTCTCTCCTCTCTCCTCTTCTCTCTCTCCTCCTCTCTCTCCTCTCTCCTCCTCTCTCTCCTCTCCTCTCTTTTTCTCTCTCTATTGTGTTGCTACATAGTGAGTTGTTACATATTGTGTTGTGTTGCTACATAGTGAGTTGTTACATATTGTGTTGTGTTGCTACATAGTGAGTTGTTACATATTGTGTTGTGTTGCTACATAGTGAGTTGTTACATATTGTGTTGTGTTGCTACATAGTGAGTTGTGTTGTGTTTCCAGAGGAGTCCAGCCTGTGTCCTCCGCTCTGGTTCAGGTTCGACACCTTGTGTTTCTTCATTTCTCAACAAAGAAACGACTTTGACTTCGCCCGCAACGACTGTCAGATCAGAGGAGCCCGACTCGCCAAACTACACAACAGACGACAGCAGGTGACACACAACTGCAACCTTTATTCACACACAGTGGGGAAATTCCAGTGTTGCAGCGCACTTACAGGACAGTCGGGAGAGCACACAATTCTTCTGACTCTGATTTTCTTGATTCTGGTTCTAATTCTTGTGTCTCTCGGCTGCAGGACTTCCTCACGGCTCGGGTTCAGGCGGCGTGGATCGGGATGACGGACAGGGGCCGTGAGGGCGAGTGGCGGTGGCTGGACGGGTTCCCGGTCGACAGAGACGGGTCAGTCACCATTTTGGGTTTAAAAAGCTGTAGTTTAGGCCTCGGCATAATCCTGGTGCTTATTTGTTGATATCGTCTTTGTCAATCCAGATATGAGCCGTGAGAATTGACTCATTTAGTTTTGGCTAGAACAAAGCAAGACCAACGCTGCTCCTGATTGGCTCTGTGGTTGCTAGGACGTTGCTAGGTAGTTGCTAGCTGAGAATTGGGTTCCATATACATTCATGGAGTCTGTTTGAGTTAGCTAGTTAGTGATGATCCAGGTTTGTATTTCTGCAGTGTGTAATGCAGTCCTGTGTGTGTGTGTGTGTGTGTGTGTGTGTGTGTGTGTGTGTGTGTGTGTGTGTGTGTGTGTGTGTGTGTGTGTGTGTGTGTGTGTGTGTGTGTGTGTGTGTGTGTGTGTGTGTGTGTGTGTGTGTGTGTGTGTGTGTGTGTGTGTGTGTGTGTGTGCTTGTATGTATGTCTGGCTATCTGTGTGTGAGTGTGTGTGTGTCAGTGTCTCTATGTCTGTCTTTTTCTGCACCTGTGTATGTCTATTTGTGTGTACGTGTGTGTCTATTTGTATGTCTGTGTATGTGCGTGTGTGTGTGTTTGTGTGTGTGTGTGTGTGTGTGTGTGTGTGTGTCTTGGTGTATTTGTGTGTCTCCAGGTTACTGTGGGCCCCTGGTCAGCCTGACAATGTTTCTGCAGAGGAAGACTGCGGCAACATCCAGAACCAGAGAAACTTTGTGGGTCTGAATGACTCGCCCTGTTCCAACCTGATGCAGTGGATCTGTGAGAGACCAGTGAAGCAGACCAGGAAGCAACCAGGAAGTGACAGGAAGTAACAGGAAGCAACCAGGAAGGAACAGGAAGCAACCAGGAAGCAATCAAGATAAGATAAGATAAGATAAACCTTTATTAGTCTCACAGTGGAGAAATTTCAGAAGCAGCCAGGAACCAACCAAGGAGCAACTAGGAACCAACCAAGGAGCAACTAGGAAGCAACCAAGGAGCAACTAGGAACCAACCAAGGAGCAACTAGGAAGCAACTAGGAAGCAACTAGGAAGCAACTAGGAACCAACCAAGGAGCAACTAGGAACCAACCAAGGAGCAACTAGGAAGCAACTAGGAAGCAACCAGGAAGCAACCAGGAAGCAACTAGGAAGCAACCAGGAAGCAACCAGGAAGCAACCAGGAAGCAACCAGGAAGCAAACGGGAACCAGCTAAGAACCAACCAGGAACCACCCAACAAAACAGGAACCAACCGGGAAGCAATAAGGAGGCAACCAGGAACCAACCACGAACCAACCAAGAACAAACCAGAAACCAACCAGGACGCTGATGGAGTGGAGACCATCTAACTATTGTAAACTCACAGTTTGAACAAACAAATAACACCAAAAAACCAAATACGTACAAGAAGCAAAATGGTCTTTTTTGAGTTTTTAACCTTGTTTCTTATTGATCCAGACCTTTGTCCTTTGTGTTGTTATCAATGTATGACTTTGTGTTGTATTCTCTTCAATAGAGACATTGTACACACATTTACTTTATTGTGCTTTTAACAACATTACAACATTGTTCCTCATCAGTCCCAGACCTGGAGTTGTTTTTCCATCCACGCTAATATCAGGAACTTCTGGCACAACCTTTGTATTGCATCGCCCCAGAGTCGCACTCACAACCCCACTCACCCTAAACTATTGTACATATTTTGGGCGGCACGGTGGCTGAGTGGATAGCACTTTTGCGTCTCATCTAGAAAGTTCTTTGTTTCGAATCCTGGTCGGAAGAGGACCTTTCTGGAGTTTGCATGTTCTCCCTGTGTCTGCGTGGGTTTCCTCCGGGTACTCCGGGTTCCCCTACCACTAAAAACATGCACAATAGTTCTGGCATGCGCTTCCTGTACTGGCCCCGCTCCCATCTCTGTGTGGAGTGAGAGACAAATGCCCAAAAATAACAATCGTAAAGCGCTTAGTGGTAGGGGAAACCGGAGCACCCGGAGGAAATCTATGCAGACACGGGGAGAACAAATAAACTCCCCTCAGAAGGGTCCTGTTCCGACTGGGATTTTGAACCCAGGACCTTCTTACTGAGAAGCGAGTATAAAAACAAGAAATATTCCACATTTGATTTGGCAATTTCTCAAATGAAATTAGGCCCTTTAGTATTACATGACTGTGTTAACCAAAGAAAGCGGTAGCAGTGGGAGTTTAAAGCAAGCCTGAACAGACCAGCGCCGCTCCTGATTGGCTCTTCGGTTGCTAAGTGGTTGCTATCTGAGAATTTGATTCCAGTTTCCCATTTCTGAAGCCTGTTTGAGTTACCTCTTCATAGCTTCTCAATAGTAGTATCTTATTGTTGTCATTATAAGTTATATTATTAGGTCCAGTGTGACTTGCTGCGGCGACCGTGTCAAAAATATACAGTTAAACACACACACACACAACACAACAATACAAAAAGAAAAACAACATTTACATTTCTATGGCCAGTGATTGATAGATGTGCGTTTCATCCTGATCTAAGACGAAAAACCTGCAGCAAAGCGTTGTAAATCTTCTTCCACTGATTATGGTCGTGGAGATACTTGCAGCAGTGCAACGCAGACATAATCTCAATGAACCACAGATTGTAAAGGGAGAAGGAGCAAGAATGTGTGTATCTTCGTATTGCACTGTCAGAGAGGAAAAAGATAATGGGAGGAAGGTAGCAGAGCAGCAACATGACTTCTATCAACAAAATATGAACAAACGCTTTGGCTTTGGGCGAGTCCCTGTCTTTGTGGGTCGCGTCCGGTCGAGATTTAACCCCTTTGCTTCCGGGAGTCGGCTGAGATAGAGTCTTCAGGATCAACAAAGACGCAACAGTTAGCATAGTGGTTAAAACAGCTACCAAAACACATTCGAAGTGCAGAAACAACAGGATCAATTTCCCTTTGACGACACAGATCACAGTGAGAATGCTGATTCCCGCCAAAACTATCCCCCACGTAGCTGTTAGCACCGCCAAACGATATCGCAACGGTCTGTATTCGAGAAACGCTATCAGATGCTCCGCGGCTATAAAATCTGGAACAGTCTTCCTGAAGATGTGAGACAGGCCTCCTCTCTGACAATGTTTAAAACCAGGTTAAAGACGGTTCTGTTTAGCTGTGCATACAACTGAGGGATTTTATATTTTTGTATCTTTCTTTTTAATGTTCTGTGATTATTTATGATTTTAACGCTTTCTTGTTCTGTTCAGCACTTTGAATTGCCTTGTGTATGAATTGTGCTATATAAATAAACTTGCCTTGCCTTGCCTTGCCTTGCCTTGCCTTGCCTAGGTAGCGCTCGCCGCAGACTAGCGCTTGAGCTATAGCGGGTGGCCGAAGCAGAGCATGCCGAACATACCGCTCCTGATGTAAGGGTAAAGCTGAGGGACAAACTTCAAGCTCAAAGCGGTGAAGATGAGGAACGTGGAGATGAGGATGTTAGCAAAGACCAGGTTTAGAGTAAGGAGGTCGGTTTTCTCGGTGAGTGGAGAAAAGGCGTTGGTGGAGAGGACCAGGGACTGCGGCAAGAAGGCGATTAATCCAGGAAGTACCAGGAGCAAGCATCGCAGTAAAGAAGAGTTTTGTTGGTGTCCTCCATGGTTTTTGAATCTAAAAAAAAAAAAAAAAAAAATTGAGGATTTTTTTTTATTTTTATGACTGAGATATTTATTGTGTTTTATCATGGGGGGGAAGGGGAGGGGATCGGGGATAAAAAATAAAAATAAAAATACAATAATAATAATAATAAAATTAAAAAAATAAAAATAAATAAATAAATAAATAAATAAAAAAATAAATAAAAAATAAATAATAAATAATAAGATAACAAAAAGCAAAGGAAAAATAAAATAAAAATAAAATAAACCAAGATAAAAAGTAAAAAATAAACATATGTAAACCTATATACATACATACAGGTGACAATGAGAATACATACATATCACACTCGAAGATTTAGACATATATTCACAAAAAAAAAAAAAAATTGAGGATTTTTAATGTATAAATGTAGATGAGTCACACGTTAGCTTAGCCCTCACCAATCAACAGCGAATTAAATGCTAACTAGTGTATACATGTGTTCGGCCACTGGCATTTTGTACGGGCATTTCGGACCGTGCCCGCCATTTTGAAAAGGACAAACATTACTTAATCCCCAGTGAAGTACACAATAGTCCGACAACGTTGAGGTTTTTTTTCCTGATTTTAAACGAGGAACCGAGGAATGGTCATTTATAGGGACATGCCTCTACCTTTCAATCCAACGAACGTCAATTTGGAGCAATATCTTTCTTTGCTTTTCTCTTCCAAACAGTCGTAATACGTGTAGCTTAGGCATGTCCAAACTCAGGCCCGCGGGCCAATTGCGGCCCTTTTGTGGCCCTCTACTGCTAACACAAAGTCGCCATTGAGGCTCTTTGACAGTTTCATCCAACCAACTTCAGCTCCACCAATACAGTCAGCTATACCTTGTTGCATATCTCAGAGCCTCAATAAGGACGTATAATCACCCATTTTGAATTCCAGAATCCAGTTAACCAGCTCGGATCCAGTTTTTTTCATACCAGGTTGTCGGCCCCAGGTCAATTTTGGTGAACAAAAGTGGCCCTTTTACTAAAAAGTTTGGACACCCCTGTCGTAGCTCATCTCTGTAAGCCTGTAGTCATTTGCCCCTTTCAAAATGGCGCTTTGCAGATGTCCCGGATGTGTGATGTCACCGCAAACACATTCTCCCGGGCTTTAGAGTTTTTCTTGCTGGAGGACAGTGGTGATGATCCTGGACACTCCACATCCGACGACATTTATCAACTTTATCGACATTTATGGACTTTACTCGTCTGCTCCTTATGGACCAATGGCTCTATGTGTTTTTTACTGTGTTTGAGCGGTTTGATTCTCTGATCTGTTGTTGGCGAATTGACAGTTTTGTAAAGTCCTGTTGTGATTTAGGGCTATACAAGAATACATAGAATTGAATTGCCTTGAATAACGTATTAGTGCTTATGGTACATGTCCTGATTCTACATCTGACGAACTACTACTGACACTTTCCTATGTCGGTTAGCATTAGCGTTAGCACTCAATTAGCTGTTAAAGACCTTATGCCGGGTTTTTTTTTTTTTTAATTGTGGATATCAAAATTGCATGACAATGTCGATCTGAAATAGATTCTGGCAAAAAAAAATCCTATATTTTATAAAAAGAACGTGTTTTTCATGAATTTAAGTTGTCTATGCTCTAACCTGTGTGTGACGTCATAGCGGGTAACGCCCATGCATTGAAAACCATGGATCTATGCCACAGGACTGCCTTTTCTCTCTTCTCTCCACTGATGCCCAACACAATACTGCCCTCTACAGGTGACAATTGCTCATTACACATAAATTGCCGTTTTGAGTGTGAAAAAGTGTCCGAGATGGGATTTGAACCCAAGTGTCTGGATTGGCAGTCCATCAACACAACCACTGGACTATCTCAGTGACAACAAAGAGCCTTGTCATCTTGAATATTCTCGAAAAAAGAACGAATACCAAATTGTAAACAACTTACAGCGTTGAAACGTACCCGCTCTGACGTCACCAAGGGCTGTGAAGTTTTTTCGTCTCTAAGGGCGTTGCTATGGGGTTATTTCGATTTGGGGGGATCAGACAAAAAAAACAACAACTGATTTTGAAACCTTTAGTAGTTCTCTTCTAATATAAAATGTTATTAAAACTGCATTTCTAAATAAATCAAACCTGGCATAAGGTCTTTAATTAGCAAAGGTCATTCCCAGTGTTACCATATATTTTGTTAAACTGTTAGAGATGGAGACACAGATATTTTAAGATTTCATTCCAAACAACATTTGCCTGCTGTGTTGTCATTGTGTTAATTGAACAAAGTTATTAAGTGAAATATTTTAGTTTGTCACAAAAAACGGTGGTATGAAATTGAAAATGATAGAAAACACACATCAAAAAAGTCTCAGCCTTGATTATATTTATTTAAGTGCATTTAGGGCAATTCATTCTGATGATATTATGTGTTTTTTTATGAGTAAATACATGTAAAATAAACGTGAGGGTGAAGAGCGACCTACCTCCGAACCTGCAGAGAAGAGACTGAGGGTGAAGCCGAGCCCTGAGCGAGGCCACGCCCACTTCGGATCTGCAAATCTGAAAACCACAAACTCTACACAAATCCTGCACCGAGAAGATCGTGAGTAGAACCATGATTCGTTTATACAGCGCCTTTTCATAGAGCAAGGTCAGAAAAGTGCCTTACCAGAGTCAGGACAGAGTATAGTGGTAGCAGACACCGGAGCACCTGGAGAAAACCTACGCAGACACAGGGAGAGCATGCAAACTCCACACAGAAAGGTCTGGAGGTGGAATTGAAGGACCTTAACTGCTTTCGACCCATGACACTGTGATTATTTATGATTTTTGGACTGGTGTGATGGTACTTCCTAGTTGGAGAGACCAGTGAGCAGCCGTTACAGTTGTCTAACCAACCGGAGGTCAATGCTATAGCTTTAGAAACTATATTTTTGATTCTGGCAACTTTTTTAGGTTGATAAAAAGCTGCAGATAGTACTCATTTGATGTGGATGTTAGAATTTATGTCTGGGTCCTATATTTCCCCGAGATTTATCATGAGATTTGGAGGTATCAGGGAGAGAGACTGTTTCTGGAGACCAAAGACAACCAATCGCAGAAGAAAAAGAAAAAAAAGTAGAAGAAGAAAAAGTAGTGGGAGTAGAAGAAGAAGAAGAAGACGTTTTAGGGCTCAAAAGTAGAGAATAGAATAAGGCATGCATAAAATAAAAATGTACATCTTCATAAATAAACCATTTGGATTCAGGTATATACTTTATTTTTGTGAAGAAAAATAATTCGTATATATATATTTAGATTAAGAATGTGGATAAATAACTGTGAAGATGTTGAAAGAATGTGTTCAAACCATCTCCATCTTAAACACGAACTCAGAAAAGCCGAGTCCGACAGATGCAGGACTGCCTTGTTCCTGTAACTACAGCTGGTGTATTTGCAGGAGAGATGTTATTCCACACTGGGTGGAGATTTGCATGTTCTCCTCATCCGTCATGTCTGTCAGCGTCTGTCACTGCGTCTCAGATCTCTGCCCCGGTCACTCTCTCATTTACACCGGGAGCTCAGAATGTGGACAGGCCCCCGAAAAACCATGCACCGGAGGATCTAAGCCGGACTATGGGAGAGAGAGAGAGGGATAAAGGGAGAAAGAGAGAGAGAGAGGGAGAGAGAGAGAGGGAGAAAGAGAGAGGGGGAGAGAGAGAGGGAGGGAGAGAGAGAAAGAGAGGGAGGGAGGGAGAGAGAGAGAAAGAGAGAGAGGGAGAAGGAGAGGGAGAGAGAAAGAGAGAGAGGGGGGAGAGAGGGATAAAGGGAGAAAGAGAGAGAGAGAGAGGGAGAGAGAGAGAGGGAGAAAGAGAGAGAGAGGGGGAGAGATAGGGAGAGAGAGAGAGGGGGGGCGGGGGGAGATAGAGAGAGAGAAGGAGAGGGGGAGAGAGAGAGAGATGGGAGAGAAAGGGAGAGAGAGAGAGAGGGGAGAGAGAGGGAGAGAGGGGGGATAGAGAGAGAGAGAGAGGGAGAGAGAGAGAGACTTAGAGGGACAAAGATGGAGAGAGAGAGAAGAAGAGAGAGGAGAGGGAAAGAGAGAGAGATAGGGAGAGGGAGGGAGAGAGAGAGAGAGAGACTTAGAGGGACAAAGAGAGAGGGAGAGAGAGAGGCAAAGAGAGAGAGAGAAGAAGAGAGAGAGATGGGGAGAGAGCGAGAGAGAAGGAGAGATAGAGAGAGGGAGGGAGGGAGTTAGAGGGAAGAGAGAGATGGAATATTTGAGATGGTTCTGTAATCTAATGTGTTCAGTTTGATTACAGCAGTTTTAACCCTTTCAGGCCTAATTACATTTGAATGACAGTGAAACGTATCATATGGGCAGTAATATACAATCCTGACTATTGTTTGAGAGAGACCTTCACCGGCAATGCATTCTGGGATGTTGTAGATTTGCAACATTGGCCCACTGTGGTAAACAGATCCAACCCGGGGAAAAACCCAGAGATCTAATAATCTACTAATTGGCATGTTCTATGTCTTTATATATTCATCTTTCATTTGACGCCGTGTTGGTTTCAGAGTTTTACAGGCTGGTCGGGATACTGACCTAAAATCGACACCTAGAAAATCTGTTTCAGTGAAAAACAAGGAAACTGACATTTTGGAGGTGAGACAGCTGCGCCCCCTGGTGGACAGGTAGAAAACTATGAGTTGCCAAAGCTCAGTAAAAAAGGGTAAAAAATATGGATTTGGATTAGTTAGGTAAATTGTATGAAGATATTAAAAATCTGCAATGTCTGGAGAGGGTCAAAAGCTCGTGGGACTTTCTATAGATGTAAAATGGAGTAATAAAGTAATTAGTCAGCCACCAATTGTGCAAGATCTCCCGCTTAAAGGAATAGTTCACCGTTTTTACATACTGACATATGTTCTTACCTTACCTTAGACTAGTTAATATTTACCTGTCTGGTCTTAGTCCGTGCGCTCTGTCATGCAAACGGAGCAAAAACGGGAGCACAAACGCAGCCTCCTCTGTATACTGTGTAGGACCAAAAGGTAGCTCCCGCTAGAAGCTACCGAACTCTTCCAAGTGTTCCCTATTAAATGTATATAGTTACGTGACGTGTTACACTGCAAAGTATAGTAACACAGAAATGTAACAGTCGATTTTCTCAGCGGATAAAACGGGTACTATATTGTGAGGCGTAGTAATCTGAGGTGCGCTACGTCCGCGCACTAACTTCTCTCCGGAGACTTCTCTCTCGCTCACTTCCGTCAATAGAAGCAGCGTGACTTGTAATACACACAGTAGCAGCGAGAGAGAAGTCTCCGGAGAGAAGTTAGTGCGCGGACGTAGCGCTCCTCAGAAGACTACGCCTCACAATATAGTACCCGTTTTATCCGCTGAGAAAATCGACAGTTACATTTCTGTGTTACTATACTTTGCAGTGTAACACGTCACGTAACTATATACATTTAATAGGGAACACTTGGAAGAGTTCGGTAGCTTCTAGCGGGAGCTACCTTTTGGGTACTATACAGTATAAAGAGGAGGCTGCGTTTGTGCTCCCGTTTTTGCTCCGTTTGCATGACAGAGCGCACGGACTAAGACCAGACAGGTACGTATTAACTAGTCTAAGGTAAGGTAAGAACATATGTCAGTATGTAAAAACGGTGAACTATTCCTTTAAAAGATGAAGGAGGCCTGTAATCTTCATCATTGGTAAACCTCAACTATGAGAGACAGAATGAGAAAAATAATTTGAAAAATCATGGTGGAAAATAAGTATTTGGTCAATAACAAAAGTCCATCTGAATACTTTGTTGGCAACGTTTTCTGTAACACAAGGTTATCACACACTGTTGCTGGTATTTTGGCCCATGCAGATCTCTTCTAGAGCCGTGATGTTTTGGAGCTGTCGCTGGGCATTTTCTGATTTGTTGTTTTCTCATTTTGAAGAGCCTCGCTGGGGTTAGATCTAAAATGCAAGTTGAGGTTTTAGAGGAACCTTGGGGGACCGGACTCACTGAACTCCTTCAAAAAAAAACGTTAAAACCTCACCTCTTCCTCCAAGCTTACAGCTCTTAGTTTCAGCATTGCACTCTTCTTTCCGGCGTTTATATTTTCAGTTTTGTGTCTGTCTGAGTGTCTCTGAGAAGCGTTTTTGAGTTTTTGAAAAGCGCTATATGAAACCAATGTATTACTTTTATTATTATTATTATTATCATTAGTGTCTAGAGTGTGAATGTGAATGAACTGAGAGAGAGACAGACCCATATCCAGATGATGTCATTCGTATCAAACCCGGCGCTAAGACTAGGTAAGACTAGAAGCTGGTCTCTGTGTCCCGTCTGCAGCAGTACGGCCCTGGTCTGCGGCTGTAGCCAACATAAAGCTGTAAACTTGGCTCTGACCTGTCTCTCCACAACACACGCGTATATTTAGCCGCAAATTTATGGTCCCCCAGTTTGCCTTTTGGATTGCAGCATCTGCCAACAGCGGCATGTTGGTTACCTGCAGCATAACTATCCCAGGTTCTTTATACCTAGATTTGAACCATGTCGGAGAAGAAGCCTCTCTCACATTTTCAGGAAGACTGTTCCAGATTGTAGCTGCGTGAATCTTAAATGCAGCGTCCCCATGTTTAGTCCTGACTCTGGGACCAGCAGGAGACCAGTCCCTGTGCTCCTCAGAGAGACCAGAGAGAGAGACCAGAGAGAGAGACCAGAGAGAGAGACCAGAGAGAGGGAGCAGAGAGAGACCAGAGAGAGGGAGCAGAGAGAAAGACCAGAGAGAGAGACCAGAGAGAGACCAGAGAGAGGGAGCAGAGAGAGAGACCAGAGAGGGAGCAGAGCGAGAGACCAGAGAGAGAGAGAGAGACAGACAAGAGAAGAGAGTCCAGAGCAGAAGGTTAGTCCCTGTGTGAGATTGTTTTTCTCTCTAAAGTCTAAACAATTTTGGAGCTCTCTTGGCTTTCCAACATGCGCTATATAAATAAAGATTACTTATTATCTTACTAATGATGACATTTTAAGACCAGAAACTCTCTTAATTAAAAACAAGACTCAAATCTCAAAAAACCTTCAAACTTTAAAATATGTATTATGTACTTTTGTACTGTGTGTTTAATTATCTATGCGTCCTTGGGTTTCTTGAAAGACACCATGAAATGAAATTATGAAAAATCTCTATAAAAATGAAAATCAATTTGTAAAAACATTAAAACAAAACTTGAAAACATGAAATCAAATCAAAAGATGAACTAAACTGGATTAATCACTTTATGGACTTTCCCTTTTACACTTGAACATTTATCTCAGCTTATATTCTACTAATTTAAAATAATTGCAGCCTTTTCAAATGAAGTCAATATGAATTGGAGCACATTTCAGACCAGGCTCCTCTGCTGTGGCATCAGCAGCAGGAGCAAGGTCAGGTGCATAGTCAAAACAAAAAAGTCACCACTTGCAATGTGAATTGGGTGAATTGTGTAGAGTTTAACTCAATATAATACTTTTACAGCTAATCCTAATTCCCTCTTTCTTTTTAGACAAAGTCTATAATCAATAATCACTTTTAACACAGATTCTAATTTAAATGTTTGAAAAACGGCTTTTGAAACTAAAATAAAAAATACATGAAAAAAAATCTTACAAACAGCTATGAAATATATCAGAGATACAATATTGGACTAATAATAATAAGCAGCAGATTTAAAAAGAAAAGCAAAGCTTTAGCACTAATATTTGGGTTTCAAAAACATAATAATTCAAAACTTCTATTCCCTAAATGTGATCAAAGGGGTGAGTGTTAGTATTAGATAGCAATATGGCCTACGTGCAGGACTGTACAAGGACTCTGATTATTTTGACTATGATGTGACTGTCTCTGTGTGACACGTACGTCTTTCCATGTGTGACGTGACAATGGCTATATAAACTGTGTACTGCCTTTATTCTGTCTGAGAGAAAGAAACAATGGAAACCACTGGAACTTGAGAGAAACTTAAATAAACTTCCAGAGTTTGGCGCACCACGATCCGTCTCTGTCTGCTTCATCCCTGACACCTGTGCTTCTCAGAGAGACCAGAAAGAGAGACCAGAAAGAGAGACCAAAGAGAGAGACCAGAGAGAGGGAGCAGAGAGAGACCAGAGAGAGGAGGCAGAGAGAGACCAGAGTGAGGGAGCAGAGAGAGACCAGAGTGAGAGACCAGAGAGAGGGAGCAGAGAGAGACCAGAGAGAGGAGGCAGAGAGAGACTGAGAGACCAGAGTGAGGGAGCAGAGAGAGACCAGAGTGAGAGACCAGAGTGAGGGAGCAGAGAGAGACCAGAGAGAGGAGGCAGAGAGAGACTGAGAGACCAGAGTGAGGGAGCAGAGAGAGACCAGAGTGAGAGACCAGAGTGAGAGAGCAGAGAGAGACCACAGTGAGAGACCACAGTGAGAGACCAGAGTGAGAGACCAGAGAGAGGGAGCAGAGAGAGAGAGAGAGACAGACAAGAGAAGAGAGTCCAGAG